AGTTTTTCCCTTGTAAATTGTTTCTGTGGGTACAATGGGGGGAAGGGGGTTCACCGTAAATTAGCTATGAATAGAAGATACTGTTGAAAAGGGACTTCTAGGTAGGGAGGCACAAAAGGCTGCAGGGGTGCTTTGGAAATAAGATCAGCTATGCTAACCAACTTGCACATTATTGCTTGCCTGGTTCAATGTCATCTTTTCATGAACTGGACTTCTCTCTCTTCTTTCCTATGCAGTTATTGCTTCTTATCCATCCAACAATGTTCCCTCCTTTCTCTTCCCATGCATTCCCAGTGTGGCTCTCCCTTTCACCCACCCAGCACCCTTTGTAGCAAACTGTGATGTCACCACTGAAAGGTGGCCATTATATATTTGTGTCCTGATACCTGATGCAAGTATGTGAGTTGCAGCCTTTGGGTGATGACGTCATCATGCATGTTTCATCATCTGCTCCCCACCCCCAACCCTTATACCATCACGCCATTTACTGCCTCAGCGGCATCTACAGGATCTTACTGCTTTCTCTAGAATGACAAAATCAGGGTTGCAGTGTTGCATGCTCTTCCCCTTTTGGGTGTGTGTGCAACATGAACAATGCACTTAAAAAAGGGACAGGGCTTGCATCACAATGCCACAATGCTGCTTTCGTCATTCTGAACACCCCCCACCCGTGCCCCTTCCAGATACTCCTCTACTACTTCCTTTTGCTGTTTCTATTGGAAAGGAGAGAAAAGTGTATGCGTTTTTGTCTATGTGTACTCGCGTGGTTCTGTGAGAATAATTGGTTTATATAGATTGGGGATCAATTGAATTTATAAATGTGGCACTTTCATAGGATATTAATTTTAATCTATAACTATTAATTCAATATTAATTTATTTTTCTGCCTTTTGTTGGAGTGTGACTTCTGACAATTATACATACATACATATATGGACACAAAGGTTCAAGTGGTCAAACTCACAGATTTGGAGGAAGGAAATATCCTGAATTGGTTTCAAGTGAAAGCTGGAAAGCTGGCCACTCCCAAGATTTTTGTCTGTGTTTTTTATTTATAAGTATGTATTGATACATATTCCCTACCCCCTTTTTTTAAGGAAGAAAATTAAAGTCAGGTAAATCGTCCTTTCAGGTAAACAGAGTACTGAAGAGGGGAAAACCTCTAAAAAAAAAAATAAGAAGGTGAGAACATATTGGCAAGAATAGCTTGGAAGCAAATAAACTACAGTCAAATATGACATACTTAAGTAGCCTTTCAAAAACCAGTGCAATAGAAGGGGGAATAAAATTAAGATAATACCGTTTGTCGCAACAAACTGTAGTTTCATCCATTTCGCTGGTCCCTATATTCTTGTTTCATCAACAGAGAAAAGGGAATATAAAATACTAATTTTACAAAATCAGAGACAATATGCTTTTAAAAACATTTAAGGTTACAGGTCAGTTAAACTTGTCATCTTTTGCAGGACACAGTTCTTACTCAACTTAATAAACTCGACACTCTTCAAAGTGGTTTAAATATTTATCAAGTGAATCCCTATGAAAAAATTATACTACAAAGGAACTCTAAAACCATGAAATTTATCAAATGTTATGTAGATAAAACATCTTTTAATATAAATAATAATTGATTTTTTTCTTTCTTTAACCATCCAGATTCCAGATACTGATGCCCAGTTAAGAGGTTCACTAGAGTCTTTTATTAAGCTGGAAAACAGCTTAGACCTCTATAAGGAAATTGGGATGCAATGAATCTGACTCAATAAACCATTGTTTATTAAGATGAGAAGAAGCATTATGTTCACATGCTCTTCTCTACCTCCTCCCTTTGCGTTTCAAACTAAGTGCTTTTACCATCATTTCTGAAATAGCTAATGTTTTAAACCACTAGCTGAAACCACAGAAAATCTTCTCTTGAGTAGATTGTATTACAAGATAGGGACAATTCACAGAACTCTTATATCAGTGTTTTTCAAAGGTGGCAACTTGAAGATGGATGGACTTCAATTAATTAATGCGAGGGAATTCCTCTGCTTCGCATTCAGACAAGGCAGCCATCAACAGGCACATAGAGATAAACAACATCGACACACTATTCAAGAGAGACAATAGAAAGGA